CCAAAAATCACTTTCCAAAAAAAGACTGGTGGTTCAGGCAGTGAATTTTTGTGATGCAGAAGTATCATTCTGACTTTTCAGTCTTCAAACAATACTTGAAAATCCCAGTGAACTGACTTGCCTAACAAAATCCAAGCTCCAAAAAGCTCGACAAGTTTCTTTATTTGACACTTCGTTTTGTGCAAAACTCTCATAGGGAAGATCTTCGATAAAACTAAAAACCTACATTTTTTCGATCTTCGTTAGTGTTTTACACTCAGGTACTGTTATTTTTAAATTACAAACAAGGCTCCACGAAGATTCTACTGTTGAAAGATGTTCCCTTTGTAATTATAATGTTCGTGAAGATACAACTATATCTTATAACTATATTTCTGCTTCAATATCCTTTGCTTGCTGAAATTAGATTTAACTACATTGGACTCGGAACCCTGTCGAAGTGTGAATTATCGCAAACTCGACATGTCAGACTTACCCTCGGCCACTTAGTAATTATGCACGCCAAGCTTTTGGAATTCGATCTGGGTGGTCCATTGATACTGCTTTGTAGCTAATTTCTGCTTTGTATCATGTATCTTTGCAATTTTTAATACACAATAAAATTCGGGTAAATGTCCTTTCTCATTTGCTATACTTTAGTTATTTTTATTATTTGAAGATCGTGAGATGCGGTCTGTTGTGACGTAGGTTTTAGAAAAACATTTTCTTTATCATGCCAACGTTTCGATTTTTATTTAGATCAATTTAGATCATCTTCAGGGCTCAAAGTGTTTGTTTTCCGTGTAGATGTGTCATTATTGTGCCTTTTTGCCTTTTTTTAAGAGAGAGGGGGGAAAGTGCCAAACACGACACACAAGAATGAAGCTTCTGAAAACAAACACTTTGACCCCTGAAGATGATCTCAATCAAGATCGAAACGTTGGCATGATAAAGAATTTTTTTTCTAAAACCTACGTCACACCAGACCGCATCTCACGATCTCCAAATAATCTTTAACTAACGGTCCCTAAACATCACACAATTAGTTATTTTCTAATATTTCTTTGTTATTTTACAAGATGTATTTTGGTTGTAACTGAAATTGTTGAATTTTTTAATTTTGCCAGTTTATGTTTACAAATATTATTTTTGTTAATTATTCATCTGTTTTTCTCCTGCTGATGGCCATATCTCCACACTTTACGGGTTATTTTCCAATAAAAGTGTACTATAATAATAATGAATGCGGGGTGTCCTTTTTAGATGGCCCGGCTGAAGTTCTCTTGAACCAATGACTTATCAAAAAAACAAAAATACGTGTTTAATGTTTTTTAGACTAGTTTCAAATTTATACCTTTTGTTGGAGAAAAATTATACAGGGTACCACAGGCCCAGTTCAACTTCAAAATTTCAAATACGACACTATACATCCTGGCAAATAATTAAAAAAAAACTGTTTCCTGAAAACAGTGCTGCAATTGGATTTTAAATTGGTCAAAATATGACAAAGTTAAAAACGCATTTTATCTTTAATTCCAATAATATGCTTATTCACTAATTTCACAATTTCCTTTATTGGTTTCATTCTGTAATTTTTTTTTTGTCAAACTCGCATTATGAGAGCAAATCTTAATTCCTGTAAGTAAAGAAATTTTAAAATAGTAGCTATTCGTTACATTCAGTATTTCATTAAAAATGAACCAAAGACCACATTTTCCCTCAACTGCTTTATTGATAGTGGTGGTATTGCGCGCCGTGCAGTCGAGTTGAACTCCCAGAAATTTCCCGATCGCCCCAGAGTAAACCACAAAACGTTTATTCGTGTTGCTCGCAGTTTGAGGAGATACGGATGTACTCCGGACTTGTAATTTTAAGCCGTATCGCTCTCATCTTGTACAGGGTCTTCGAGACTCTGATTATGACAGGCGTCTAACGTTCCTTGCGCAAATGTCGATTTCGGAGGCTGAACAAAACCTTCTTCCATACATCCAACAGTCAGATGAATACAAGTTCACATCTAATGGCATATTAAACCGTTAGAAATTTCGAGCGTGGGCAGGGGCAAATCCAATAATTTCGTACTCTTGTCATCATCAGGTGGTTCACAGTATCAACGTTTGGTGTGGACTTCTCGGAAATAAATTAATTGGGTCTTATTTCTACGAAAATAATTTAAATGGTGCTAGTTTTTTAACCGAGGTTTTATCAACACTATTAGGTGATGTGCCTCTGCAACAACTAAAAATAATTATTCTCCGGCTTGATGGATGCCCAGCACACAATTCTTTGCAGGTAACACCTTTTTTCAATCGTCACTTCCGGAATAGGTGGATAGCACCTCATGGCCTGGATCTATTGACCTCCTCGGTCACCCAATTTAACTTCACTTGACTATTTTCTGTTGGACTATTTAAAAAAATAGTGTATACACCAATCATAACCCAGCAACCTTAGTTGAACAACTGCGTCCAAGGATAGAAAATGCTTGCCAATCCATCTCCCCTGATTCTATCGCTCTGAGCACCTGTGAAGAGTGGTTAAAAAGCGCAAATCATTGCACCTTTACGCAAGGCGGGTAGTTCGAACATGAAATGTGATTACCATAAAAATAGAAAAAAAAGACTGGTTTTTTCCAAACTTTTTGCCATAACTTTGTCACTTTTTGACTAATTTAAAATCCAATCGTTTTGTAAAGCATCCTTTAAACTGATGTGTCAGGAGGTATAGGGTCGTATTTGAAATTTTGAAGTTGAACTGGGCCTGTGGTACCCTGTATAATTTTTTTCCAAAAAAAGTAAAAATTTCAACTAGACTAAAAACTATTAATCATGTATTTTTTGTTTTTTTCATAGCATCATCGGTTGGGGAGAAATTCAGCCGAGCCATCTAAAAAGAACACCCTGCTGAGTTTTGGGGCCGACAAGCAACTGGCCAACATCCGCCTTCCGCGCGTGGTTGCTTCTTTTTCTGAACTTTCTCACTAGTGTAATAATAATAATAAGGTTAATTGAATACAATTGAAATGTAATTATTTAACTTGGAGCAAATTGAAATAAATCCGCATTTACAAATTTAATCATTCCTGAAGTTTTTTTCATAAATATCTTAAAACATCAATCGAGAATCATAAGAAATCACTGCTATTAAATTAAAAAATCGAAAAGATAAATTTTTATTAAGAAGAGATACAGAGGGTTTTATCTTAATGACAATTTAAAATGATGAAGTTCGACGTGGTGTTTGTTTTTGTATCGTCACTCATTTCAGTCACTCAAATTTTCTCAATGGTCCGAGGAAGTCAAATATTAGCTTATATACTGCCCGTAAGTATAACAGTTTCGCTTTTTTGAACAGATCGGCGAGGAAAGTGTGAGTTCGATTGATAAATGAGAAATGCGATTCGAATGCAAATGACGTCCATTGAGGAAATACAACGATTGAAATTGTCCCAAAGCACGTTTAGGTTTCTTCCTCGGTTTGTATAACGTTTCATTTTAAAAATTGTAACAAATACTAAACATATTTTCGATGATGTTTATTTTGTGGTGAGGAAAGTCATAATTAAAAAAGTAGAAGGCCTTGAATGAGTCATTGCATAAAAACCTCTGCCAAATTAATTTTCCTTTTTCCTACTTTTATAGATATATTTATAATAAAAGTTTAACTTTTACAGTTGTCTTACTGTAACAAAAATCCGACCGCGAAAGTCATCTTTTTAGTACTCAAATGGGAAATAAATTGCACGGGGGAAAGTCGTGGATCATTAAGTGCCCTCTGAATGGCTTTTATGTAATCCAAATAATCACACCTCTACAAGGAAGTACTGACAAAATTAAGCATCGGCCTAGTATTAATTAAGGTTCGGCTTAATAGAAGGAGGGCCTTGAACCAATTTGGTTCGCCGTTTTATTCTTTATGAATTCATGTCTAAGGCTGCGAGGTTTCGGGATGACTCTTCTTTTCGAGATTGTTTTGTCACGATTTGTTCTAATCTGGCACTTTCTTTTTTTTTCTCTTTCTTTTCGTTTGATTTGAATTTTACAATTGTAAAATTAACTACAATAAGCGGATACGAAATATAATTTTCTTGAGCGGAGAAGTCACTCAAAAATATTTGAGAAGAACCTATTAAAACGTTTGATTCCTTCACTTAAATCTCACCATCTTCTCCCGGACTACCAATTTGGCTTTCGCTCCCAACACTCCAGAACCCAACAAGTGCTTCGCGTTGTAGACCATATATCCTCATCCCTCGAGCGAAAAGTATACTGTGCGGGAGCCTTCCTAGACGATCACAGGCGTTTGATCGTATATAGCACGAAGGTCTCTTGTACAAATTAAAGCGCATCCTTCGATATTTCAGAGTCCGGCAAGGGTCTACTCCGACTACTGTCCTGTGAGAACGAGAGTGTCACAGGGTAGTGTGCTCGCACCACTCTTGCACCTCCTCTACACATCAGACATCCCATCCACACCTTTTACTCTCCTTGCATCCTTCGCCGACGCCACAGCCGTCCTTTCGTCCAATCCCGATCCTGCAAAAGCTTCGGAGGAGCTCCCATCACACGTAAACGGATTGCAGAATGGAGCAAAATATGGAGAATAAAAATGAATGAAAACAAGTGCACCCATATTACATTTACCCTCCGAGACAAAACTCCTCACACAATACACCTCAACAACATCCCTATTCCCAAAGCTGACTGCGTACGATACCTTGGACTCTATCTTGACTTACGACTGACGTGGAAACAACACATCCAAATAAAAAGACAGCAACTGAATAGACGATTCGGACTACTCTATAAACTACTCGGACGCAAATCTAATTTGTCAACAAAAAACAAACTAACACTGTACAGAACACTACTGAAACCGATTTGGACATAGGACTAAAACTGTAGGGCACCGCTAAACCTACTAACATCCAACGAATTCAATCTTGCCAATCCAAAGTCCTTAGAATTATAGTTAACGTTCCTTACTATATCTCCATCGCCACACTCTACAATGACCTCAAAATACCCTTTGTAATTAAATTAATCTCGTCCAAATTCACCCAGTTCCACGACAAACTCTCCACTCACCCCAACCCACTAGCCCAATCCATGTCCTACATTCCTGTCCGCCGAGAGGAGATGGCCTCGGGACCTCCTCATCAAGGACTAACCCTGCACAAAACTGGGAGACCAACAATGGTTGGCAACTCCCCTCAAGACTACACAGTGTATAATGTAAATATGTAACTAACCTCAAATTACGAGATGCATATTCTATTTATTCAGGTAGCAATTAAAAAAAGTTAAGTAAACCTAAGCATTCAATTATCACTCGCTATCACTCAAGATGAGAGATCACGAGGTCATTGGCGTTTCAGTCGAGACTATCAGAAAGTGTGGCTGAGGAAAGCTGGATTACTAAGAGGTTGGGATGACCAGTGGTCGAGTGGAATTTGTTGTATTTGATGGCGTGGAAAACATAAGGGATAATTGAAACGTACGATTGGTCAAAGAAAGGAGCATTTGCAATGCGAATGTTTTAGGCTGGAAAAATTGGATTCGGTAGTAGTAGGATGAGTGACCCCCATATTTCCATACAGTAAGTCCATGTCGGTTTTAGTCGTGTGTTGTAGATTAGTCTTTTATGTCAAGCGATAATTTGGATTGCCTTTCTAAGAGCCGAGAGAGATTTTTATATCGTCTATTTAGTCCACATGAGCCGTTTGTTGATGTAAAGTCCTATGTAGCGCATAGTTTGTTGTAGTAGAGAAGCACTGTTGAGGTACAGAGGGGGCACTTTCACATATTTTGGTAACTTATTTGATAGTTTTTGTCTGTCAGGCGGATTTATGCTTCTCGCCATTTTCACTAGTGCATTTTTACAATCTACAGGTCCATCAATCCGAAGGCTTCAGGAGGAAATATCATAGCTTTCACATCTGCTTTATTATTTTTAAAGAAGTCCTACTTTCAATGAAATTAAATTAAGACGGGTTTAATTGTTGTGTTGGGAAATTAAACACCAAGAAAAGGTCGTAGGTAAACGGAAATATTTCTGTATTCCCCGGGAACGGATTTGCTAGGCTGTATGCATGTCGTATAAACAAAGCGCCCCCCCCCCCAAAAAAAAAATTCACGTGCTGGGCAATTTATCACAAACAAAAGATTGTAAATAATAGATAAATTGAATTATTTTTCCTTTCAACCTGATGTTTTGTATTTGTTTTGTTTTCAGGAAATGAAAGACCTCCTTTCAGGAGAACATTTATTGTCAACGGGACTGACGCTGCGGGAGAAAGTAGCGGTGGGTGGTGTGATGGATGAGGGGCTTGAATTTCAACTTGACAATGCGACTTGAACTGGGGCATTGAGGAAAACCAGACAGTGCCTGTTTTAAAAGCCAAAGGAGTGAAAAACATTAAATTTGACTTAAATAAGGAATAATGTAACGTTTTTTTAATCGCTCTTTGGAAAATTAATCAAACTCAATGAAAATAAACATTTCATAAGCCAAGCAGTTTATTAGTTTAAAAGTTCCATTACAAATTATTATTTGGAGATCGTAAGATGCAGTCTGGTGTGAGGTAGGTTTTAGAAAAACATTTTCTTTATCGTGCCAACGTTTCGATCTTTATTGAGATCATCGTCAGGGCTCTAAGTGTTTGTTTTCTGTGTATGTGTCATTATTATTTGTCGTGTTGAGAGGCCTTTTTTTTTAGATAGAAAGTGAGTGCCCAACAAGAAAGAAAACAAACACTTTGAGCCCTGAAGATAATTTAAATAAAGATCGAAACGTTGGCACGATAAAGAAAATGTTTTTCTAAAATCTACGTCACAACCGACCGCATCTCATGATCTCCAAATAATCATTAACGAACACCACACATTCCATTACAAAGTATGATTGAACTTCGAAAAAAAAAATTGATAAATCATTTCAACGCAAACTTATTTCAAAGGTGTGGTTTTTCAAAGTGGAAATCCTTAGAAAAGGTACTCGTAGTCATTACTAAACGCCATCTTACTGACTTATCTCCATTTTGAGTATTTTCTTAATTGAAAAAATGAATATACAGCTTGATATAAAATCCAATTAAGATTGAAGAAAAACATGCTATAAAAACGTAATAGTAAATTTGTATTGTAAGTTTAATCGACGAGTATCCAAAATGATGTAAAATAGCCAACAGTTTGCTTTTTCTTTATGCAAGTAGTTCACAAATATACAAAGCTACGATATATAAAACTCTGCACGGCCAAAAGTGATTATTCGACCTTTTGTTTTAAAAGAGCCAATGGGTTTTGTTACCAAAAACAGTTTCAGAACCCCTCGTGCATTTTCTTCTTTTTTGAGAGGGGTAATTGAAAGATCATGAGCGACAGTGTCAATCGAACCGCGATTTCTACCTGGTTCTACGACTACCGAGTATAACTGCGATGAAATTACTTAAATCTGGACTTTTTGTTACTTAGCATAGTTAAGTTAACTTCTACTTCAAAACAGAATACCTGTTGCTCGTATCTTTTCACACTAGAGAAAATTTCGACTTGTTCCTCTCGATACGTTACAACTAAGTTTAGAACTTAAGTTAGGACAAAGCTGTTTGATAGTGATAGAACTGTGTGTTTATTAAATTAATTTAATTCCTTAATTCACACATGTAGTCGAAACAGAAAACAAAATACCATTCCTAAACACACTCGTAATAAGACAAAGATGGCATACTAATTGTGATTTGTACCAAAAACCAATGAACACTGATCGCTACCTCAAATTATACATAACACCGCCCCTACACACAATATTAAACACGGCTAAAGAATTATTTCACAGAATCATACCTCTAAGTTATGAATCCTTTCATCTAAAAAATATCCGAAATCTTACATAACAATAACTACCCTAAAAACATAATCAACAGAACCATAAACAATTATACCCAACACTACACAAAACAACATCCTCCACAGTACAGAACACATCATCAACATAATCATACAAAGACAAACTAATATACAATCCATTTCGCTCATCCACACATTGTCACACAAATTATGTAAATTTCTCTCCTCAGAACACATTAAAATAGCTTTTAAAAACATAAAACAGTACACACACTTTTTTCCAAAGTCAAAGCCCCAACACCAACAGCCTACAAATCCGGTGTAATTTATAAAATTAATTGTATGACCTTTCCAGCAACACACGTTGGAATTATATCGCAATATCTAGAAAAATGTAAAAAACAACACATCTATGACTGAAAAACGTCAAAAACCAATCCCACAGCATTGGCCACACACCACTTTGAAAAACAACATAATTTTGATTTCGACAAAATACAAATAATAAACACGGAAAAAAACGCAACTTTCTAGAAATGGTTTACATTATCAGAGACCCACACAGCATTAATTACAGAACAGATACATGCAAACTCAGCCGTAGCTATGCAACATCATAAAGCAAAGAAACTATTAAACCTTAATTTTATTTTTCCTTTTCCTTCGTTATCGTCCTTAATAATTAACTTCTTTTCCAATATTGAATATCGAATCACAAATCCAATTCAGAAATCCCCATTCTTGTCTTCCTTTGAGTTAAATAAAACTGCCTATGATCAAAGAAATTTTCCCAGATTTACGGTGTCTCCCACCCTGTCACAATCATATAAAATCAGCAAAATACCAATTCACATTTCACAACACTTTCACACACCAAGGGTCTCTAGACATTCGGGGCATAGAGGCATCAAAAAGGTTGACATGTTGGCCAAAAAGGAAGCCAACATGGACTCTCTGGACCCAGAACACTACTGCGGCGTAGCAGCCGCCACAAAAGAGGATACATCTTAAAATGGAACCACAATGAGTCCAAAACCTGGTGGAACACTACCACAGGTATGAGGCATGCGAAGAGATTCACGGAAAGACCATCCGCAAAATTACAAAAGAATTACTGCAAGGCAACCGCAACCGGACCAGGGTTCAGGTTGGACTCCTGACAGGGCACTGCCACTTAAGAAAGAACACGCACCGGATAGGAATATAGACAGAAGAAACACTATGCAGATACTGCCAAGAAGAGGAGGAGACCGCAGAACACATTTTATGTTTCTGTGAAGATCTATGTAGGTGCAGGTTCTTGCAACTAGGACAAGAAAAACCACAAGCAACATCCTACACCAAGGAGCCGCTGGTAAAGCTGAGAAGGCTGGTTAATAACCTGAAGCTGGCCAGTGAGTTATAAATAACAGGGAAGTACAATAGATCAATTCAGGTCGAGGTGCAGTAGGCCTTGTGGCCGTCTCTTTTATCCCTATCCCTTTCATACACTAATAGATCACAAGAATAGCACCAAACATTATATGGTATGAAATACTTGGGCCACAATTTACATTTATATCTTAAATTGTATTATTTCCAATCAACGTATTTTGTAATTTACTCAGGCCCTGAAGACGACCCGAATAAAGGTCGAAACGTCGGCAAAAAATGAAAAAGTGTTTTTCTAAACTTCCTTTTCACGACTTCAGCAAATTAGTGATAAAACTTTTGAAGCAATTCTACTTATCGAGTTGATGCTGGTTGTTGGTCTGCGGGTCGGTGAACTCACGCTGAACCTGCATTGAATACTCAATATATGACCCAATGCCGGTTCAGCTTGAATTCTACTTACCGCGTCACTATTTATAATTAATGGGATGTTAGAAGGAAATGTGATTCGTAGGGAAACACAGTTATCGCTATTAAACGCCCATGATTTCTAGTAATAAGCCGGTTATGTTTCAAAATTATGCATCGCTTAAAACATAAAAATTTTCATTATTCGACGATAATAATAATAACAGATCTTTATTTAGTTCATAAAATTACAAGTACATTGCATTGAAAATATAAAATTACTGACCATTATATTTCATGAATCATGATTAATAGACTATCAGAAAGGGTCTACAACAAATTTACTACCTCATATTTTAGAATGATAGAAAAAAGCACGTCAAGAATTGATAGAGTTAGTACAAACAAAATAAAAGAATAGGCGAATCCTGTCAAAGTAGTTGAACTCTAACTAATCCAGATCTGTAGTTTGGTCGTTCCCGATCAGTTTGTTCTGCTTGTTCTCGTATGCAGTTTATTATATCCGTTATTATGTTGTTTATACTCCCAAGACGATCAAACACAGAAGATCATTGAAGATGGCGAGAAGCCAAAAAGCGCTTGATAGACCAAAATAGGGAGGATAGACAGACTGGAAGGATCGGAATCGACCATACTACAAGACCATCACTCCTCGTCAATTTGGTTCGTTTTATAAATTTAGTTACTTATATAATAAATGATAAGTACTACAGCGAGAGTCGACGGACCCAGATAAAGGGCCGATCAATTTAACACGTGTTTACCAATTTCGATGTATGCTATATTACAAAAATTTCTCATGGGGTCCGCGGGGTGATGAACCTGCAGTCTGTCTGTTTTCGATCATTTTAGCTGGTCTATCCTCGTTGTTTTCTTCTATCAGACTTGTTTCAGCTTCACTTCCATCTGGTTAAGGAAGTGGCACAGCTGAACATTAATCGCTTTACTACCATCTTCAGTGTGGGATTACCTGGGAAACCAGTGAGACCAACAACAAACACCAACTTTGATTTGTTATATTATGATGGGGTCGGTGTTTTGGCTTCTTACCATCTTCAATGGTGGGTTTGAATGAAGATGAGGTCCATCCCTACGCAGACCTCTTTAGGCCTCTTTCAGAGAGAATAAGACTTCAGCTTCCTCAACAGGTTTTCATCTGCATAATTCAACAGCCAAGCAAATCAACCTATAAGTTACCTACCTAGCCTTGAGAAAGTACTTGAGAAGCTAGTCCTATCCCACCTGCAAGAAATCTAACCCACAGCCAACATTATTCCTGACCACAAATTCAGCTTCCGAAATTACCTCTCCACAACCTACTAAATCTATCGTTTGTAAAGATCATCGCAACATCCCTAAGTCGAAAGCCCTGGAGTCTTTTAATAAACTCAAATCGTTCCTTTCGGATTTTTTTGGGGACATTCTATCGGATCTTTCTTCCTTGTAATCTACCGAACCTAAACTTGTTCAATCTATTCTATAATTTTTTTGTGTTCGTCAAAAGAGCATCCTTTCAGCATATACCCGACAGACGGTACGCACCATAACCCTTACTTTCGCTGACTGTACAAGAATCCTCTCTGGATAAATCGATAGTGCCTTAGCAAGTCTATCCTTCCAAGACCACCTCCTAACCTTAGATTCCATAATGAAGAATAATAAAAGGACATAAAGGTTGACTTGGAATCTCTCATCTACGTCTTAAACAGGCAGACTTAATTACAAAACGACTAAAAAACCGCTAGACATACGTTTAAGACTTAATATTACTTAATCCAAACAAAAATATACTTTACACAGCTCTTCTAGCTCCTTATGGAACATACAAACTGAAATTGAATGACTAAAAATTCTATATC